CTCTCTCTCTCTCTCTCTCTCTCTCTCTCTCTCTCTCTCTCTCTCTCTCTCTCTCTCTCTCTCTCTCTCACACACACACACACACACATGCAGATTTGTGAGAATATTTATTCACCTTATCTTGCTATAGTCTAAAAGTGTTGGCAGTATGTTTTTTAGTAAACAGATTGAAAATAGAAAATGATCTGTTAAAAAAATGGTGCCATAAAAGTAGATATTCAATTAAGGAATAACCAAGGATTTTAGTTAGTTATTAAGGTGGACATGAGAATTTTGTGAAAACCAAATGTTTTTAAAAAATTAATGTTTAAGTACCAGAGTAGAGAGTAGAGTTGTCTTTCAGTACAAAGTGTACATGACTGGATTTATACCTGTTGGTTATATGTTTAAATCAACATGTTAGTTTTGTTTGTGTGGTAATGGTTATCATAACTTTATTCCAGCTCAAAGCCCAGCTAGAGGAGAGAAAGCACAAACGAGAGAATGAAGCCGAAGCCTTGATGAGACTGGGAGAGAGACAGAAAACCATTCTGGAAACCAGAAAGAATGTGAGTACACCCTATTATATGTATTACTATAATAGTGAATATAACTTGCACATCAGTTGTAGTTTGGTATTTTCTGTATTAAAATTAAGATGACAGTCTGATATCAGTATGAAATAGAATTGCTAATTCATGCATACACAGTGTGGATGATAATCCAAAGAAATGAATAAATAAAAGAGCAAACAAATCAATAGATGGAGAAAAAACTGTAAACAGAATAAGCATCATATGACTTGGCCTGTCATTACAGCAAGACAGAGAACGCCAGATCGCCATGATGAAGGAACGCATTGAGAGGGTCAAATATGAGCGAACAAGGACAATGAAGGAGAAAAGTGACCGCCATGTCAAGCAGTTCAGCGACCTGGTCAATGATCAAGATGTTCAGGACATGACGGAGGATGAGAGGATGGAACTGGCTGCCCAGAAGATGCAGGAGAAGTTTTTGGCGGAGGAGAGCGAGGCTAAAGAGGGGAAGAAAACTGTGAGTATTGGCACCAGTTTGAGCAATGTTGATGTAAATTATAAGCAATTTCAGATACCTATGGCATGTTTTAACATTAGGAATTAAAATTTTGTTATTTCCAGGGCAATTTATAGCTTGATGAGGTGCACAATTTTTTTTTATATCTTACAAGTACATGCAGATAAAATTTGTATTTCATGCTTGGATAAAATTAATACTCAAAAATAAATGTGCACAAGTATTTAAAATCAAGTCAGTATGTGGCAGTGATCTCTGATATGATAAAGCAATTAAAGATAACTGATATTTCACTTGCGTCTGTCACAGTTCTGGGATATGGTGAGAGAACGCCTAGACAGTGTCTCCTCCTATAATACTGTCAGTACCATCGAGAAGGAGAACTCCTTCCTGCACTCCGAGGATGATTTCACATTGTGATGTACGAGGATGATTTCACAGTGTGCCATATGAGGATGATGAGAGTGACTTAGAACCCAAGTCCAGAGATGTTGTTGGGAACTGTCAAGTCTTAACTAGAGTGTGAAATATCATATTGTATCCCTCCCTCCCTCCTCAGATTACCTCCAACTAATACCCTCTTCTCTCTTTGAAATTCTGAATCATACCTCAGTTGCATATAATGGTAGACCAAAAGGAAAAAATCTGGTTTAACCCTATTTCCTGACATTATTTTGGAATATATCTTATATTATTTGATATTGTACATGATAGTAGAATTTTCCACTATTAGCCAGAGAATTATGGATTTATGAACAGAAATTTAATTTTGGTGATCTCTCAAATAAATTATGTGACCTGTACCTTGGCATACTTATATGAATTCAATATCTCAGGCCCCTTATGCCTCCCCCCCCCCCCCCCCCCCCAACATGACTCTGGACATGGATACATTGAGTGTGTGAGTGTGTGATACCTTGAGAGTTGACTCTTTGGGATTTCTTTTGAGGTGGATGTATAAGATTTTAAGTTTTAAGCTCATTTGAAAAAGAATGTTTGCATTATACTCAGTTTCAGTTTTGGTGAAGTGTCATATTGTGATGTGATATGATATTATATGATGTGATATGACATAGGACAGTGTTTATGATGTGATACAATTTTATGCAGTGTGATATATACAGTGATACACTATGGTAAGATATGAAATGGTGTGAAAAGATATAATTATGTGAAGTGATTTGATGTGATCCTTTTGCTGATATTGAAAATGCAAAATTATTATTTAAAGGATGATTGAACTTAAAGAATGATTTTAAGAAAATGGAGTAGAATAATCATTGTTATTTCTTTCTGCACTCATTCTTGTCCAAGTTGTCTCCTTAAAAATGTTGTTAGGTGCAAGAAATAATGCCTGCTTTTCTTCAAACGAATGAAGAATTTTCCAAGTTTTAGAGTCAAAAGAGGAAGTAACTAACATGCTTTGTGAAAAAGATGCATCTGGCTTGGTTTTCATGAAGACATTCTGTTTGTCAAAAGAAATGAAGCCGTAACTTTGGCATTCTTACGGGATAGGGGATCATTTTCCCTTTGAAATCGGCTCGGTGGCATTAACAGCTTTGATTGAGGTTATTTTTCCGATATAAAGCTTTAAGTGTTAAAGAATTTACATTAAGATTAATAAGTCTCAGATTTTGTTATTGCAACTTTATCTGTTCAGGCTGGAGAAGAAAAGATTTTGTTGTCGTCCCAGTTTGGGGATTAGATCGCAGCAGACGATAGGATTGTGTGGGGACATGTTGTTCTGATTGCTATTGGGTGTTACCCTTTCTTATGTTACGCCTGCCTCAGTTCTTTTTGTGTCTTTTTTTATGGAAGGTATAAGGGTAGTTTTTGAAGATGCTTTCTGTAAATGCACTGTCCTACCCTAGATGAGGTCTTATGCCTTGCTGACAGCTCTTCCAAGTTTAGAGTTGGGTGAAGTTGGTGTTTTTTGGGGTGTGGTCTGATTTTAGCTTTGATTATTTATCAAATTCCTGATAAGTGAATGCACCCACACATCAGGATTTCATCTGATTAAGTTCTGATGCATTATTATTTTCTTTTAACTGAAAGCAGTTCTGAAAGAGGGTTGAGGATTTTCATACCAGCCTTGTATATAGTCTCCCCAAAAATATGGTTGAGGTGAGAAAAGATGGATAATGTTTCTTTCTGTCTTTTTTTCCTTTTATTTTTATGCATTTTTTGCTCCATGCCATTGAGGTACTTCAGAAATAGTAAAAAATATCCTTTCAGGCATGAACATTTACAGACAGTTATAGGATCTCATGGTATGCTTATTACGTGGTAAACTTGGTTAGCTGGTTTCATTTAACATGTCAACATTTTTGAAGGATATGTGCCTCCCCCCCCCCCCCCCCCCCCCCCCCCCCCCAAAAGAAAAAAATTAAAAATGGGAAAAGGTTATAGATTGGTCCTTAGTTATTTATCAAATCACTTGTGCATTAACTTAGTAAAAATATGTGATAGTCCTTTTTTTTTGTTATTTCCTCATTATAAAAAAGAGATATGAAAATCAAAGAGCTTTTTACTGTCTTATGCTTTGCTATGACAGTAGTTTAAAATTTTGAAATTGTAGAAGTCAACAAAGTCTTAAGAAAAGTGACAAAGATGAATCATTTGTCCAACCCCATTTTGAAAGAAATCAACAAGTTGTTGGTTTGAATTTCTTTCTTTTTTTTTTTTTTTTTCAATAAAAACACTTAGTTATTTTTAATCCATATTTAAAGCCTGCATTTTATGGAGAGAAAAAGATGAAATTTAAGAACAGACAGACGTCAGAAATAGTTATAAAAAGCACCTCCAATTAACAGTTTCCTTTGACCTTCTAGTTCAAATTCAGTCTTCTCAGACATGGTCTGCTGAAGCAAAATCTCCGACATAGATAAAATGTCAGATTTTCCCCAACCCCCCGTGGTCGTGTCGCAGGGAGGTGTCTTCAAAGATAAAGCCCCTTGTTCCATGAAAGAGACCAAGGTTAACAATCGCGTACTCTCTGCAGGCAATGCTCCCTGTCTCTGGCCAATACACACCAGAAACCTAATATCATGGCTGTTACCTTAGACTGGCCACGCCGTGCTGATGGTTTCTGTGTCTGTCAGGACAAACCGTGCTTGCTTCTTGACACGCACGTTTTTAGTCACGCCTGCCTTACAGGTCAATTGCAGACTGTAGAGATATGTACCGGTATACCCTTACACCTCATATCCCCTCAATGACCTCCTCATCAGTATGCCGCACTTTGTAAATTTGTGCAATGCATGCTTGCACACACATGAATGCACAAACATAGGTTTGCACACACACACACACACACACACACACACACACACACATTGTTACAAATTAAGCTGTGTTTCCACTCCCCTGTGTTAATCTCTCAGTTCTGTACATTTTTAATGAATTTTAAAATATGCATGACCCATTTTTTATTGAAGCCAATAGTTGTTTTGTAGTGTTTCATTGAAAAATTACAGGTTGATAAATTCAAAATTTTATATACTTTTGTAAGCAAAAAAAAAAAAAAAATACATGCTTATTGCAGAAATGGATGCAGGAATTAATGTTAATTTGTGCATTTGTATCCATAATAGTCTAAGTTTTATACTGCAACCCCTAATTTATAAGTATTTTGTGAAAAATAAATAGAAAAAGGGTAACAAAAATTTATTTGGCTAGCTTGGCCTAGGTGTACTTGCAGGTAGCAATTTAAGACTGGCTGGAAAAAAAATGCAATGATCTGATATTTTGAATACAGTATAAAGGATAAAACTGTCTATTTTGATGACTTCAAACCAACAAAGCTGTCTGCTTTCACGCGAACAACCAGAAAATCTCCAAAAGACCTCACACAATTTGTCTGTGCACACGTCTTGTAGCTGAAGCTTTATACCACGGATTTGCAGATAAAATCTTAATTTTTTTTCTGGTATAAAAGAGATGTTGAAGTTACAAGGCTAACTTCTTCTTTTAATTTGGAAATCTAATATGTCAGAGGACATGGTTTGCTGTCTTTTAGACCTCATGTAGTGCTAAAAATTGTGTACGAAAGTTTCATATTTCTTATCATTAAGTTGTTTCTATGTCTAAATATTTGGATTTCTTTAGAAGGAAACTGCTGAGCCAAGGTACATTTAGTCTGCTGGAGAATTAGGATTTTTAGTTTAAAGTTCTTGAGTTCTGTCCTAATAGTAAGATAAGCATTGCCAACTGGAATAATACTTTACACTACATGTACTCTCACCAAGAATAAAGAACCGCCGAAAAATCAAGAATTCAATTAAAGACAAGATATGACAAAAAATGTTTTTTTTTTTCTTTTTTTACAGAAAAAAATGTTAACAAAGTGCTTTGCTCAGTTGCCATAAGGTGTTATTTTCTTCACTTAATCAAAAAGGCCTGTTATTTTGATGGATAGAAAGGCCACATTGTCAAAGAGGTAACTACCAGTCCAATGCCACACAGTTTCTATGTGACAAAGAAATGGATGTCAGATTAGGTGAAAAATGATTCTCGTAATTCTTCTACATTGGTCATGAGATGGGGATTGTGAGGGTACATTTTCAACTTAACGAGATAAATGATTATGTTATTAAGTTCATTTTTCATTTTATGAGTTTTAGGTCTCAACAAAAATTTAAGTTACTATGTAGCTTTGAGCACTGTGAACTTCATCTGTGATGAGGATTTTTTTTTTTTTTTTGCTAGAGGACCCTTACCTTTTATGTGATGTTAAGTCAGTGATACCTGTAGCAATTTTTTACTTGTGCACTAGCTCTACAAAAATTATTTCCATGTATTTTACTTTGCAGCTAAAAATTAATTCTGTTTTTTAGTGTCCATTTTTAGCACACTTCTGGTTGGTGATATATTCCCAGTAGGGGCAACACTGGTTGTACTTAGAGCAAAAATTACAAGATGCAGTAACTTTTTAAATTTATCATTTTAATATATCAAAAAATGATACATTAAGCAACAACTAGTTTCAAACGGTTCAACCCTAGTCCACCCCATCCAGTGTAAACAGGGTTCTGGTTTTGACTCAATTTCCATAAACACCATCAGTCTATGTGGATCGACCCAACTCTGCGAGGACTCTCGTTAAGTGCAATCAGCTTAACTTAAAGACACACCTCCTCTTGTTTCCACATACTTGAATAATAACATCTTTTCTGTATTCTCCTCAATGTCAGGAGAAGGCGTGTTCAAATCTGTTAAGCTGATTGCATTCAGCAAGAGTCCCCACAGAGTTGGATCCATCTTAGTTGCCTGATGGTGTCTATGGGAATGGGGCCTTATATGACAGACTGCAGTAACCCATAGGAGGGCCATTAATTACCAGATTCCAGTCGTGTTACAGATTGTCAGTTTACTTTGGTTTTCCTTTCCGGGGAGAGACCAAACACAAAGATGTTTGATGAGAATTGAAAAACACCACCCGTTGAAGTGAATAGCCAAACCCATACCCTGCGGAGATGACACTTCTGATGCCTCTGGGTTCATTACATTTGGTACTTTTCTTTTGACAAGGTCGTATTAAACGATGAGCACCTCTTAAAAGATTTTAAGTGGCTACCAGCAGGGAAGCGAGTGGACATTGATAACATGATCTCCTTGTAAGACACCTGAGGATTTCTTACCACAGGTGTGACGAGGTCATCCCTTACGTCATTGTCTGGTCATTATCTTGAAACCGATCCCTCTTCAGTCTATCATCAGAGGTAGTATGCAAAATGCAGGTAAATAGGCCCACTTTGATCTTTGAAAATTTTACCCGTTAAATATTCTTATTGATTTTTTTTTTAAAGTGAAGATTGTAGGGTGCGTTTTTCGTTGAAGAGGGATTGGTGAGGTGTCTGAGAGGTGTCAGGTTTGGTTGTCTTTGTCCAAGACATACCCATCCTGTGTTTTCTATCAGTGATAGATCCACTCAGGGTTATTGCTGTTATTACATGGGTAATTTTCATGTCATGGTATACGTGTCTGAATTTGAATCATCTCATACATGTCCCTCTGTATTAATATCACTGGGTGCACTTGTGATGGAAAAATGAAAGCACCTGTGATAGAAAACATTGCATTTTAGAATATTAGGAATAGAGATATCATGTTATGGTATTTAAATGTTATATAAAGGACTCATTGTTTCATCATAAACTTAAATCCTAATGTTGGGAATTTTTCAAGATGTCATATTTTATGTTATTTTTCAAGAGGTTATTGCGAAGAAAGATTGTGTTTGATTTATGATTGACATATGTACTTATCTAAACATGCACACGCACACACACATATCAGCAAATATGTTTGTGTGTATACATGTGTTCTTGCCTATAAATAACTTAGTATCCACCCAGCACAATTAATAGTACATTGCTATCAGAATGCTTTTTGCATAGAGCAAAAAGGAAAGTGAAAGTAACTGCTCCTGTTTCCTTCCAGCTGTGGGTGCCCAGGTTCCTGCAGGGGGCACCAGTCATAAAGGTTTTGTCTCAGTGTACATACGTTCATGTTGCATGGTCGTTGTTTTGCATGTCCTGAATGTCAGAGTTGGCTGGTTACCAATCACGTCCTCATCATCTGAGTGGCTCTGCTATTTTCTTTTCTGTTTATTGAAATGGCAGGGATGTTCTGTTTGGTATCTGGTTAACTCACAGTGTGACTCAGCAGGGTGATAGGGTTGGTGTCAGCTATGGGTGCTTTCACAGTGAAACCCATACTCGGTGGCAGATCCAGAGATACTTTCTGACAGTCTTCCAAATTATCTTTGTTGATCCATCCTCCATTTCTGACCGTCTTCCGACAAAAAATGAGATACTCGTCCATGTAAACTTGAAAATCTGACCGTCTTCTGGAAGACCCAGAAGACGGCCTCAATCTGCCCCTGCTACTAGGAAGATGGAACTAATCAATCACATGAACACGCCTCCTCCTGGCTCCACCATACTTGTATAATCACCAGTTTTTCTGTATTCTACTCAATTGATTGCGGAGTAAGTTCAAACTATCTTAGTTTAATAGTTTCATTGTGAAGGCAGCCAGTGAGTGTGAAGGCTGATGGATGTGTTGCAGCATGATTGATTGTAATTACATAATTATATGAGATACAGACTGAGATATCACCTCAAATCGAAACTGTACTATTAGTGAGAAGAAGCTTGTCTGAGGGCATGCTGTGGTTCAGTAAGAGCTGTCGCAGTGGTAAAACTGAGCTTGTGATTATTTCTATTTCTGTAATGTCAGGTATGCTGTATGTGTGTATTTTATATCGGAGAGCTTTCTTCATATTAGTACTTGGTGGATTTGATTACTATTTGTGAAAGGCATGCCTTCAGTGTTATTCTGGATATTCCTCCTATTTCCCATTATTCCATTTTTGTTAATTCATTTATAACTATTTAAATCTAAATGTTGAATGAAAACTTTTGCATATGGTCTAATTGATATTTTTTGTTCTCATTTATCTATCTTACTCTATTTTCTTTCCAATAAAAACAATAGTCATATTATTACGCCTTTACTCTTTTACTTTGTATTCCATTTCACATTTACTTTATATGCATATGTTCTTCCCTCTCTTTTGAAAACAATATGTCCCAGTATTGCATGGGTTTCGGTATTATTGTTGTGGTTGAATTGAAAAGTTGTGTCATTACTTTTTGAAATTGTAATTTGGATATTGGATATTAGATAATTGCACTGGCAATAGAGATGTACACCCTACTGAAATTAAAATAATTATATGTATGTAAGCCATATGAACTTCACACCATTCATTTAACAGAAGTCCAGTAGAGACCAGAAACAGCTGAAGGTTAAGATTCAAACATACAGCCACAGGAGATGAAATTAATAATCTAAATCAACTTCAGACCCCAAGTGTTTGTGGGTAAAATACTTATATTTGTTTGCTTGTTAAACATATTGCTTATCAATTGCCTTTTACTCTCATTTCAGTTACTGACACCAGAGGAAGTAGATGAAAAGGAACCTCTGGAAAAGGAAGCTCGACCCAAGACCTCCTCGATGGAAGAGCGAATGTCTATGCTGAAAGAGAAACGGAGGAAGCGGAAGAAGAAGAGGGCTGAAGAGGGCGCCACAGGAGAGGAAGTGGAGGAGGAGGAGCTGGTGTCTGAAGTGTAATCAAGGCCCAGAACACAGAGGTACCATGTAGAGGTACTTGAGCATGGTTCACAAACCTGACAAACTTCTGCATTTCTTGATTTTATAGGAATAGAAACCGTTCATGTATTCAGACAGTCTACTGAAAGAGGATCATAGTTTTCCTTTTTTTTTTTTAAATAAAAATGTGCTTTTTGTGAGGTAAAACTCATGGTGGTTTGATGTCTGTGTTATATTTTGAAAACTGTCAGCTGAGATGGAAGCATCTCACGAATTGTCTTATGAAGATGACATGTTGATATCTCTTAGAAGAACCCTGTTTGGTATTGATAACACGCTTCCTAGTGTCTCCTGATAGCTCTCTCTCTACTTGTCTGCAAAAGATGAGAAAAATAGAAACAGAAGTGCCTCTGTTCATCCCAGGCTTATGTTTCCAGTGTGTATTCATTGTGTCAGGCCGAGTGCAGTTTGGGGTTATTTCGTTACCCGTGGCAAGATGGGCTCCTGAAATCCCTGGGTCTGGGTCAGGTACGCTGAAGTTACATCATTGTTCTTAACTGACAGCGATACGATACTCCTTTGAGAGAGAATTTCAATAGGGAAAAACTGTTAGGTATCATACTTAAGTGAGTGTGCTCATGCATGTTTGAAAGCACTTATTTAGATTTAAGTAATATGCCTAGTTAAAAAAAAGTAAAAGGTGGGGGGGGGGAGGTAAGTTTAATTTGGTGTTCGAGCTGAGTATTGTCTTAAGTCTCCTATCTGAAAAATCACTTTAAAGCATGAACCTACTTGTCCGTTTGCGTTTTTTAAGGTTTTGATTCTCATGGTTACATAGCCTTACATCATGTCACGTGAAGTCATGTGCATGCACCCGTGTGAATACGTACAATATTTGTGTAAGCATTTGACACTGAGTAGATGGCATTGTATGTCAGTTATGTCAATAGGTGAGGAGAACAATCGGTTTCATCAGTTTAAGCTTGGATAGGGATTTAAAAAAAAAGACCTGTACTCTCCCTGGTATGAAAACGGCTGATTTTAAAGGTTTAAAAATGTTTAATTCTACAAGCAGAATTTCTCTTTGAAATCGGATAGGTCTGGCACTGGTTACGTGTGATCTTGAAATGAATTAAAAGTCACAGCTGTGGAACCTGTATTCGTGCTTGGCACAAAACACACCTGGTGGATGACCTTTTGTTTTTTCTTTACTTAAACAGACAGTCAACATATTTTTTTTTTGAGATTGTCAGTATGTTTCATTTAACTTAAGGACATGTTTGATAAAAAGTTCTGCAATTCTTGTCATCAAAATTTTTAACTGAAAAATTATCAATGCCCAAGGTGAATCATGAATGTTGATATAACAATGTAAGTATTACAACCATGAACGTCACAGAAGCTGTTTTTGAGCTGCCAACAAATCTTACAAAAAAGGGTGGCGGCATTATTTAAACACATTTTAATTTGGGAACGGACTCTTTCTGCTATGATAAATAGACCAGACAAGTCATGCTGAGTCCATGTTGTGCTCTGCTGGGCTGTTTGTATTTGTATGGTCACGTCCAGCACCATTTCAACTAAAGATGTTTTAAGACTTTTTTTTTTCAAGTTTGATTTGGTTTGATTACAGGTTGGCTAGAGCTGCTATAAGTCTTACACCAAAAGGAAACTCTCAGGCATGAGTGTTTTTTTTTTTTTTTCTTGACATCAGGGAAGTTTTGAATTCAGTTCTGAAATGCCTCCCCTGATGAAGTGATTTGTCCCACAATAAATATTCAGGGATATTTTTAAATCTCCGATTCCTGTCTGAACCTTATGCAGCCATTAAACCAAACCAGCACACTTGTGCATATTTTTAAAAAATGGGAGGAAACAAGTTGTCTTGTTGTCTTTATGGAGTCAGTCTGAAAACATTCTAGTTAAAACTGTGCTGAACTTGGCTAGTGGATAATGCCATTGATTTGAATAAATCAAGATTTGAATTTTATCCATACGCCTGTATGGGGGGTCTTGGACTCATGTTGTTCAGGCTTAGTTAAAGTTGTGGATTTTATTTATTATTAATAAGCTGATGTATGATTTCTATTAACTTGTGCATAGTGCAGTTTTTGTACTGAAAGAGGAAATTGCAATTGAATGCAAGTGCTTGATTGCATGACACAGCATTATGTAATATATATTTTTTCTACTCTGCATGCATGCTATGTAACTGCTGAGTCAAGGTTTGTTGGAAACCATCCTGAAAAAAAATTCTTAAAAACTCTCAATTTACAGCTGCTGTCTTTGAGGAAGTTTTAACATTACGAAGGTCATAACAGGTGTAGGGACAGTCTTGATGAAAGTAATATCACTATAAGCCACCATGACAGTTGGTTTGATCATGCTGCAGACAAAAATTAAAGCTGATTATTACTAGTTGTCAGTGATTGAAAAACACATCCTGAGGGATATTATCTAAAAGACAGATTTAAGAGGATGATACCCGAAATAACCTTTATATTGAAGTGAACTATTTGTATAAATCAATAGTGGTTCCAGTGAATGGGCCCTCATATCACACCTGGCGGGGGGCAGAGGGTATAGAGCAACTTGCTACTAATGAAATTGGAAACGGTGATTATGCCTGCACCTTTAGTCCTCCTATTGTACGACACAGACATTTGGGAAGTTGAAAGCATATGAAGAGATTGGGAACAGTGAATGAACGTGATTGTACTCACTTTTAGGACTTGTTCCCATGAGAAAATATCAATTTTTTAACTTATTTGCTGGGGAGGTTCTGTAAATAGTTTCTGTGCACTTTTATCCTTGCTGGAACTGCACGCGATTTGGATATAAAAGTTATTGACATGTTTCAAATTTATACGTTTATCTTCAATGGGTTCCTTTAAAAAAACACTTATTTGTGATGTTAAATGAAGCAGTGGTAATTTGTATTTTATACTGGGGGTTATAGACTGAATAATTTTATTTTTGTTGCCATTTGTTGCTATGTTCCCATGGCAAAGGGTCAGCTTAGGTGAAATAATTTTGATGCAATCTTCACTTTGGAGTCTGTGTGTGAAGACATCTTCATGGCGCCCACACGGTGATCTTCCAGTGAACCAAAGCAGTGAAATTTTTTAATGTCGGGTGAAATCATTCAATTTAGCAATCATGGACATGTAAACTTTTTTTTTTTTTTACACAAGAGTGGCAGGATCCTAGTTATACTTCACATTTTATTTGCTGGTCAGATAAAGTGGTATCTTTTTGATAAAATTTATGATAAGAAGAAATATGTGTACTTAATATTTTTATATTATACTGTGATGTGAATGAGTTCAGATTTTAAGATTATCTCTGAAAATATATATTTGTATTGAGTTAATTTGAATGTATGAAATTGTCAGCAAACTAAACAGGTGTTATTCATGATTCAATAATTTAATTTTGTAATACTTTTAATAGACTAATTTTTTTTCATTGTGAACTTTAAACTTTTTCAGATCTTCAGATCTCATGTTTTCTAGTGGCATAGATTGTAATTCCGTCCATTTTAGTCAGAATAAAGGAGGTTTTAGATTATATTTTTATTGTTTTGTTTAATAACAAGTAGTTTTTGCATATAATTAGAAGCTTTTTAATTTAAACACGTTAACCAAGATATATATTATACAGAAATGCTGAAATTAATAAATAATTTGAAAGAAAATGTTTTTGTGGTATATTAATATTTTGATATACTTGATATATTTGTTAAATAATTGACAGCATTTTACATGTTAAAGGACATTTTATGGAATTTGATTTGATGAAAGTATTAATTTTTTGGGGAGGTTGCCAAATATTTAGAGCTGATTTTTACCAAACCTTTATCAAATGACTTGCAAAAGTGCTGTCACACATACACGCTCGAATGCATGCATGAACATAAATGTAATGGCACATGCAAAGTCAAAAACATATATAATTTTTTTTTAACTTGAGGTGGTAATTTTGTTGCCAATAAAGTATACCCAGGGTTTAGGAAAAAAACTTAAGGATGCTTAATAAGGCACTGCGTAAAACAAGGACATTGAAAGAGTAAGTCATCATGAAATTGGATATGTATGGGTTTTAAGACTCTGAAGCTGTTCTGTCCCATATCTACCAGTATGATGATGATGAGAAAACAGTGAAAACACCTACAAGAGCAAATTATCTGCAGACAATTTCATAGTGTGTTGGCTATGAAAAGACTGTTCTTGTCTCTTACTGACCACCTGTTGTGCCTGCTTATGGTGGGCAATTGCCTTAAGGATAGGTGCCCCTACATGGCCACACCTGACCATACCTGACCACCACCACCATCCATTTTATATTGTATTTGTCTGAAATATTGCAGTTGGTTTAATATGATTATACATATCCCTGAAGTAAAATATCATTAGTCTGATCATTTTAGCTATATAAAATGAGCCTAGAGGACACCTGTCAGGGGTAATGGAGGGGGGGGGGGGGCATGGTCAATCTGTACATCTTTCCCAGCTGTTTCCATTGTACCAACAAGGAAAGCTGTTCTCCCAGTATAGATCTATTCTGCAAGCTGGAATAATATACTATAATAATATAATAATAGCATAATATACTATAATATGGCCTGTGGAGCCGATATTTGGGTGACCTGCTCTACTGATGAGTGCCCCCCAACCTATCTGTACCAAAGATCACGACAAGATGGTCACCCTGTCTGCCAGGAGAGATACTTGGGTCTTATTGCTGCAATTTGTTTAATCATTCACTCGTCAGATCCAACATACAGAAGTCTTGTCTGACATCCAGATAATAGGATTGATTTGATTGGACATGTTCAAGTGAGATGGTGAACTTGTAACAAAGCCTGCTAATGGTCAGAGGTACAGTAACTGAGCAAATTGAAATTTCTGACCAATTGTTGAAAATTGCCTGCAAGAATTAGCGACATAGGCCTACAAAATTTACCATTGTAGCACATTTTCAAATTGGGATTTTACATGTGTTTTTTTACATGTGCTTCT